AGCCCAGCCCAGCCCAGCCGCCCACTCAACCACGGCCCAGTCCCCGTCTTGCCTTGCGACTCCCATTCTTTCTCCCCCATCCCCGTACTGAAAGCGGATCAACCCTCTTTGTGGCATCGCTCCCGTGTCTTCGCATTGCCTTCTCCTGGGTCCCCGTCTTTCGACAAATCTACCAATTCCTTGCTCAACGCCTCGATTTGCGCTCTTTTTGGGCCTCATTTTCCCCAAGCCGTCCCGCGGTTTACTTCTATCGACCTGTTCGCTGGTCTCGGCCTTGGAATCTCGTGACGTGCCACTCGCCCCATCGTCGCCTTATTCGCCCACGACCTCCTCTTCCCCCCCGTCGGCCTTGCTCTCTCTCTCTCTTGTCCGCATTCGCAGCGCGAAACCACACCACCAAATAATTATCTCTTCCCCTCGCCGATGCCTTGACGGTTCCTATCGCCTCGACCCTTTACGATTCCACAGCGGAAAACTCAATAGTCACACTTTTGATCTATATTCCCTTGTCGGTTTTGGTTTCCGTCACGATCACTATCGCACCGTGCACCTGGTCCTGTCTCGTCGCGACACGCGAGATACCTATTATAGACATCCTCAGCCACTTCGAGTATCCGACAATCGTCTTTCGCGCACCCATTCGCGTTGTCTGGCAATCCCACTTCATTCCCATCGTTCGACGTATGCGATAGTGATTCAACGCGATCGTCGATATCCACGCCGTGGATAATCGACCCGACTACTTAATCATGATGGCAACAAGTATGGGCCCAAATTTCTCTGGGCATCCTGCTGGTATGGGACATCCAGGTGTCGCCGGCCACCCCATGGGACCTGGTGGCATGCCTCACAACCCAGGTCAGCAAGGTGCTCCTGGGGGGATGCCTCATCAATTCGGAGGACCTATGGTCTCTGCTCCCGGAGCACAAGTAAACCCTGCCCTCATGGGCGGTATGCCGCCGGGTGCGAACCCAAATGCTCATGCTTTGCAGCACCTCAATCCCACCGCGCAGCAGCAAATGCTTCAGCAACAGCTCCAGCAACAACATTGTATGTGATATCCTACTGGCACTGTCCTTAACATCCCTGTCCCTGCGCAAGCGCTAATTGGATCGTTGACAGTTGCTAATCCGCAAGCGATGGCTGCGATGCGACAGCAGCAGCAACATCTTCTCCAGCAACAACAGGCGCGACAAATGATGGCTCATCAAGCCTTCCAAAACAACATCCAGAGTGCCGGTATGCCTATCAATATGGCGACTCAGTTTGGCCAACTCAACCCTCAGCAGATCCATCAACTCAGAAGAGGCCTGACTCCGGTAAGTCGATTGATAACCAAGCTGTCATTCGCGTCTTTTCAGCTAACAAATCAGGGATCGCATCCACAAGCTCAAGTGATTATGGCCCAGCAGCTTGCTCTGCAACATCAACAGCAGCAGCAACAACAGCAGCAGCAACAACAGCAGCAACAACAACAGGTTGCTCATGCTCAGCAAATGCAAGCTGGGCCTAATCCAGGCCAACAGATGCAGATGAACGCTCAGAGCATACAGGCTATGCAACAAAATCAGCTCGCTCTTCAAAGTCAGATGGCTAACCAGCAGGGCCAACAACCTCAGGGACAACCTCAGCCTCAACCACAACCGCAACAGCAGCAACAGCAGCCTGGCCAGCCTCAGCCTCAGCACACCCCTCAGCAATCATCGCAGGCTGGCACACCCGCTCCCACTGGACCTCAAACACCAGCTCAAACGCCCAGCTCAACTCCTGCTCAGCCATCCCAACTTCCACCTGGCCAGAGCCAACCCCAGGTGCCACAAACTCCTGCTCAACCACAAGCTCAACCACAGCCTCAGTCCCAGGCACAGTCACAACCGCAGCCACAAGCCCAGCCTCAGCAACATCAGATGAGCGCCACAACCGCACAGCAACTCGCAATTCAAAGCCAAATTCTCCAGCAGCAACGACGAGATAGCATGAAGGGCCAGTGTTTACTAAAGCTGATGCAATTCAGCGAACACTTGAGTGGCTTTCCCGTAAGATATATCGTGATAGAGCCCGGAATGACGAGCTAACAAGAGATCTCTAGGGCTCAAAGGGACGAGATGACCTCTCCTACTGGCACGGCTTTGTGATGCGTTTCTTCTCACCAAATGGTGTTTTTCGTCATTCATTACATATCACCGACGCCGAGGATACGACCGATAAGCAATATGAAATCGCTTATCCTGCTATTGCTCGATACTTTCACACGCATTTCGGCAGCGGGGTGAAGAATATGCAGTTGATCATGGATAAGGGTGTGACAGATCGACCTCTTCCGGGCGATTGTCACTGTATCGAGAATTCGAAGGCCAGTTTCGTTTATTGGTTCGAGACTGGATCTCACGTAAGACATTCTGACAGGTCTGAGTAAGTGAGTTACTAACATGGTGATAGTTGGTTGCTAGTGGTACGCTCCGAGCACAATTCGACGCTGAACAAAAGATCGAACTTTTCGAGTTCCTCACCACGAGTCACGACGAATTCATATCACGGAAACAGGTCATTGATGCCGCGAAGCCCGCCCACATGTGGATGAAGGAATGGCACAAAACTAACTCACAGGATGGCAAATCACCCGAATTGTCTAAGAAGGGCAAGGGTCGACAGTTGAAGTCACCTCAAACCCAGCCACCAGAGGTCCTAGTTGACCTGCCGGATTCGGCTGTCAACAGCAAAGGTGTGACTGAAGCTGTCTTCCAGTTTCTTGAGGTAGGGACAGCTCACTCAACGTAAGTAAGAGTGACGCTAATGAATAATGTCCAGATTGTTGAAGTGATGGGACAGATGAACCCATTATTCCAATTTTACCATTCGAACCCCGGCCTAGGACCGTACCAAGCCCTCGATCAGTATGTCTCAACACATATCAGCGCAGTTGCGCCCAACATGAACGGTCAACAAATGCCCCCCGGGGCCCGCACACCGAGCTTTGGACAATTTCCCATGGGTGCAAGCCCAGCCGCGGCTCATATGAATCTCCCTGGATCACCACACATGGGCAGCCCAGCACCCGGACACATGCAAGCCCCCGGAATGCAGATGCAGCAGAGCCAGCAGGGCACTGGCTCTAGCGGTCCCAGTGCAAACACATCCCCTGCCTCGAACAAGCGACGACGGCCATCAGCAGTGAAAGAGGAGGATGGATCTGGAGCTCCTACGCCTGCTGCCAATGGAATGCCACGTAATGCCAAACCACCTACACCAAGGATGCCAAAGCGTCTCAAGGGAAACCCGCCAGCCCAGTAAGGGATGGGCTGCTTCATCATCTCGCACATCCAGATATTTGAGTGTTTTATTCAGCATTACTTTGCATGGTGGCGTCACTTCGTGTTTGATTTTGCTCTAGGCCTGTCTGCGGGAAAGATATTTTGCTGTGACAGAATGAAGGCATAGTGAAAGACGTGTATTTCCACACACATACAATGTTGGCTATGTTTGTCAATGCATAACAGATGCTCTTGGGAGGCCCCTTCTTGGAGCCCGCCTCTTCACTGTTCAGTCATCTTTGTCTGGGCAGTGGATTGGAGACACGGATGACGAGACCCACGCATGTTGGACCATGCACATAATGATAGTAAACGACATCGTCATGGGTCTTTTTTTGAGCATCAAAGCCCACCAATAGAGGGGAAGGGGGAGATCAGGGGGTTAATTTGGGGTAACGTGGTTGAAGTTACCTACTCTTGTACTCTTGTACGACTACAGATGCCTGGGGCACAGGCTGGCGTCGAAAGTCTTGGCTACCCTTACTTGTTTTTGTGATCTGCATTTGCGTTTATCTTGTTTGTTTATCTGAAAAGAACGCCCAGCAAGTAACTAGGTGTATATGGTGGGGGGAGTCTGGAGACACTGGTGGATTGGTCAAGCATACTGTTGTCGTCAATGGTCGTGTTAATTAAGAGCTAAAGACCAAAATCACGAGGCAGAGGAGCTGAGGTTGTGCCGTGTTGCGTTGCGTTGCGTTGCGTTGCGTTGACTTGTGAGCAGTCTGATGGCGCGAGGATCATGGGTTCGTTCAGATTATACCTAGGCTAAATATGGAGTTTGGTCTTTACGATGTTAATTTGAATTGTCTTTCTGGCCAAGACATTGGTCTATGTTAGTGTTGACGGTTATGCTGCTTGATGAGTGTCTCATAAAGCAACGTTTGGGGCAGAGGTTTACTGTGTCACATAGTACAACCCAGAAACCGATATTGCACGAAACGGAAGTGAATCAGAGCAATCTGACATGAACCAATCTTTCCAGGCATTGGCTACCGGAAACCACATCCTTTACCGGGTGTTATGCTGATATCTTGTATCGCTCGTGATGAGATGGCATTTCCATGAGCAAATGAGATGATGTTATCGATACATTTTGATGCGCGGATGAATAGCGTATTAGTTCCCTTCCCTGGAATATTCTTGCTCTTATTGCATACATCAACTTCCAACAAATGTCCCTCCCTTTATCCCTAGAGTGCACCTCGCTGGTCGTCCAGCTTCATCGTAATGTCGTTGGTGTCACAGTCCTTTTGAACGATCAGTACTCAATAGTTTGGCCGGAGATGGAGCTGAGTGAACGTGCAGGAGTATGTGCTCTCAGGCACTGTTTTTGAACCACCAGCCAGAAGTCTTCTTGGCCGGGAGGTGCTCACCACGAACGGAGATGTAGCACTTGAGTGCCCCTCTAGACGCAGCCATCATTTCCTTGAGAAGAAACCACTCAAGCTCAGAACGAGCCATGATGTCGGTCTTGGTGACGAGATCGCGATAATGCCACTCCTTGTCGCTAGGCCCAAGCGGGTAAATCTTGCCGCCATAGGTCCAGTACAGCGTGGCAGAGATGAGCTTGGGACGGCGGACTTGGCGACTGAGGCGATTCTTGCTGGATGCCTCGACAACAGGGAGCTTTTCCCGGAGGAGGTTGAGGAGATGAACCCTGGAGGTATTGAGAGGAATGCTCAGAGGGGTCGGGAGAGGATCCCATGAGCCAGTGAGAGTGCTGTCATGGCAGGGGTCATGGACAATGAGATCAAACTCGAGCTGTGAAACTGGCGGGAGAGGCACAAGAGGTTTTGCATCACCTGGGGGTTTGTCGGCTGAGCTGCTCAGAGCTGAAGGGAAGCTTTTCGCCTTGAGTGGGTGATGCGCAAAGGGCTCTTGGGCAGTGATGAACAAGTCCATGACACTTGATAACTCAGAGGTCTAGAGTTTGAAGGAAACAGTGAGTTGGGGCGAAGATAATGATGCTGAGGAGGATGAGGAAGCGGAGGTGAAGTGTGTTCGCAGGCCACCTGAGATGTTATTGAAGTGAGGGGTCGTGTTTTATCTACTATGCCCGAGACTCAGCTCTTAATCAGTGAGGCAGATGCTTTGCTTCTGATGAGCGCGCCGGAAAGGGGCGAGTGTTGGCGTGAATCTGAGCTGGCCAGGGGCTGACAGTGACAACTACCTACGTAGGCTGAGATCCAATGCTTCCAAACAACAATCACAGTCACAATTTGACATGTTCCATTTACGGGTTTCAAGGGCTTCAGATACCATCGATGGATTGAAGAAAAACTAGAATGGGGATGTCGAATGCTTTGCTTGATATCTCTTTACTGCTTGACCACTTGCAAACCCCCTCATTCCTCTGTGCTATGAGGCTCCACGCTTACAACTTTAGGCATCTTGGGTGCCGGCTCAGAATCAGTTGCCGCAGGGGTTGTATGACTTGTTGATGCAGTTTGCTCAGGCTCGGTGGTATCATTCCCGGTGTTCGAGGGTTCAGGCGCATTGGTGTTGATCGCATCCGTTGAGGAGGTTGATGACGGTAAAGGCTCATGAGTGGCAGGAGTATTGTCAGTCAACTTATTCTGGTTGCTGTCAGTGGTGTAATTTGAATTTCCGCACGGGGGAGTACTCTGATCGTTATCGGGTTGTTGGGCCAGAATCTTAATAGGCACATAACCATACTAGAGAATTCTATTAGCTATCTCCTTCTCCTCAACCACTTCCTTCTAGCCGATGCACTTACATCGACCAAGATAAAGGCCCCATAGTTATTTGTCACTGTGTCCATCATCAAATTATGGAAATCTGGGGCTGTCATATCGCCAAATGACACCTTCTTCACAAGATCTGGTGGTGAAACAGGTCCATCAATCGGACTAATAGTTAGGATTGAGCGGTAGCTTCTGGTGAGATAGAGTGTACAACGTCGAGTATACGCTTCATCTCCAAGCCCATGCTGTTCAGACAACCAGTTTAAATTTCCCAGCACTGTTTCTCGAGCTGGAGGATAGTTGTAGCAGGCATCGTTGGAAGCCAGAACAGTTCCTGCACGGTGGTATATGACCTTGATCCTGATGGGTGGAGAAAAGACAGGCCGATACACTTGAACTAGCTGAACAGGTGTTACGGTGAATTGTGGTAGAACAACCGGCATCGTAGGTACGTTCATGGGAACTGCTGGGAGAATGTAGTTCCCAAAGATTGGGGGTTGAAAGAGGAAAGCCATCGTCGTAGAGTTTTGGGGTAATGAGGGGAGTTGATAGAGAAGCCATCATGGTTTCTGGTGGAATTTTCGACTTTAAATACATGCAATGGTACGACTATCTATGGGCCGTTTAGTCACGGTAGCCAAGTTGGGTTCGTGATTATATGTTTGGTGTTGATGGCTAGGTAGGTATTGCTTGGTGTCACTCACTACTCTGTTCAGCCTCTGTGAATACATCTCATTCGGCAGAGTCCAGCTTGTGATTAGATGCATTAACAAGGCCTACAACTGTTATCTTGTTTATTCTTTAATAGCCTATAGGTATGGGTAGATATTCTATCTCATATCATCGTCAAGAGCATTTAGGTGAGTCGATGAGATGATTGCGTTTGACAAGTGGACGAAGCACTCAGTACTAGGTACCTAGATTAGCCGCTGTACTATACCTACCGAGTGAGACACCATAGCAGGCGTCTTAATGTATCTCAATTTTCGTAATGGTCATCCATCTCTGAACTGGCACCAATTTATACAGTAAGTGGATATATACATACCTAGCTACTATCTATTAGGTAAGGTACCTTAGGTCTGATAAGGGACTTTCCAGATGACAAAAGCATACTCGCCCATTGGAAAGTGCCACCATTCGCGCCTGCTCTGTGTTTCAGACCAGCTCCTGCCGGCATCGAAATTACTGTCTGTACCCAACTTCTCCCTTGAAAGAATTGCATGTCCAATATCAAATTCTTCATCCCCCAACCCAAGCCCTCTCCCTTGTTGTTTGATGAATATTGGCCTAGCGCAAATCGCTCTGATTTTCAAATCTAGATTCGGCAATTGCATGACGGCAGAGACAGATCCTAACGTTAGTTACCAGCTGCCTCTGACGTATCATATCACACTAAGATCGACGGGGCCTTCATGCATTGCCTTGGCTGGCCTTTTCCTCACCAAGTAAGCCCCCCGCCCCGATAAACTCTATCGATCGCTTGCTGTGTTGTGTTGTGTGTAAGCTATCATCCGCCAATTTGAGCAGCGTGAGAGCTGTTGTTACTGTTCCATCGCTGTGGAGCGGATTAAGGATAATGACATAACAAGACGCCAATTGCCCAGGAAATCACTCGTTCAATTGTCACGAATGCGCTTAACAAGATGTCTCGGCAATTGCAATGCCGTGGACTAGTCATCGATGGTGAATGGACAAAAAGGGTCTTCTGTCCTCCTCCCTGCAGCTTTGTTGTTGGAACTGGGCTCTATCCCTACAGAACAGGAAACAAAAGCTCAACTGAAGCGGTGACAATCAACTTCCTCTTCACCGTCAGACACGATACCACTGGACTCGCAGACTCGGTAGGTAGCCAGGTGATGTTAAAAAGTTACTAACCCTCCACACCCGGGCCATCGGACTTCCACAACAGGAGCGCCACGTCCTCAACGTCCAGTCTTTAGTCCAGGATCAGCCTCTGGACGACGCTACCACTACAGCCTGCATTGCACCGGTCCTTCTGTTCCGCATAACCCGCCTCCTCGACAAACCCTCAGCTTGCCGTGCAGTACAGAAATGCCCTGATACGGACATCGAAGACTCGGTGGCGTGGGGATCGTATTTTGCTTCTTGCAACATTTTGGTGGCATTCGACATTGATTTCGACTTGGTTAAAATTTTGGCTTTGATAAACCGAGACCCTTGCTACAAAACCTCGAGATCAAGCCGACATTCCTAACTGGTGTTCAATCGTGTGCACCACTCACCGACCATCTCACCTCTTACCTCTGATCACGTCGGTAGCCATGATACAATGAAGGGGGGCGGGCTGCTTATTCCACCGTGGTTCGAATACCACGAGCCAAGTTGCTCTGACTGGGCCATTGTCAGCATCGCCTTTGGCATGACTCTGTGTCTGGCAATCTTCGGTCTCATTCGTGTGGGCATTCAAACTTATCATCAGTGGAAACGCGCACAAAGAATTACAACGTATATGGTCTTGATATGGCTTGAGTTGGTCTCCAGCGCTATTATCGGAGGTCTTGGCTGGGGTTACGTTCGAGGAACCATTCGTCCAGGGTGAGTCTTGGTTGCTCAATCTCTATTTTCAATGACATCAAGCTCAATGGTTAACCACATCACTTCAAGATTTTTGATATACTTCTTCATATGTATGTTCGCTGGCTCAAGATTGCAGTACCGGGCTAATCTCTACAGTGCTTCTTTGGGTATTTCAGATCCATTGCATTATGCAAATCATTGTCAACCGAATAGCCCTCCTCCATGTTTCACCGACCATCGTTCGACGACTAAAATGGGGAATATTTGTTATCCTGGCACTTATTAACATTTCAGTCTTTTGTGTTTGGATACCGGCTCGGCTGCAAATTAGTCAGACTTATATCGACATCAACAACATCTGGGACCGAATCGAGAAAGGAATTTTTGCGGTCATCGACCTGGCTCTGAACTTCTACTTTGTCTATCTTGTCCGGTCGTCCCTCATATCATATGGCCTAACAAAGTATGTGGTATTATATCGCTTCAACCTCGTCATGGTAATCGTCTCCATCTCAATGGACGTAAGTCTTCGTTATCGAACACTTTTCATCAGCTGACTTACACTTGAAATAGATTCTGATCATTGGTTCAATGTCACTGCGTAATACCTTTCTGTATGTTGAAACTCCCGTATATTGTCCATCAGCTAATCGTTGTGTCAGATACGTCGAGTTTCATCCGCTGGCATATCTTGTCAAGCTTCATATCGAATTGTCCATGGCCGAGCTCATTGCCAAGATAGTCAAAGCCTCCGGGCCCAACCTCGCTCCTTGTCGTTGCACTTGTCATGACAATCCCAACCATACATTCCTCCATCAACTACAATCTCGGCACAGTGCACCTGCAGCCCCCAGTGTGACTGCACCAACTACTGGAAGATTCCGTTGCTCTTGGCCTATGTCAAAGGCTACACGCAGCAGAGAGAAGCGCCGCGGAGGAACCCGACCACAAACTCCGTCCTTGACCAAGAAGATGGTTTCAAAGAAGCGACAAAGTACTGGAGAAGATCAGCCGAAACAGGAAGTCTGGAAATCTGACACCAATACCGGTACAGACTGCGCCTCACACCACTTGCCGAGTTCTACAGGACAATCGAACGAAAGCTCACACGATCATAATGACTGAAGCCATAACGGAAAGTCGCGTAAGCGAGTATCGTTCCCGTGCCTCTGAACGTTCTACCCTATCAGGCCAAATCAGATAGTCATGTCTTCAGAGGGTTTAGAAGATATTAGCATGAATAGCTCAAGAAGGGCCCAGGAAAGACTGAGGGACCTGAACGGCCCTTTCTATAGACGCTGCCTAAGAGGTCGATTGACCTCGATGAGTCTCCAACACTTTGGGTCCGTACAAAAATTGACCCCCACCGAGCAACTACCAGCGTACCCTGCCCTTCTCGTGGTCTCCACCTCGGCGAGCCTGATGAGATATTGCTGGGGATGTTGAGGGGATGCTCTCTGATGCCATAGTCGGCGCAGGAGCCTACAGAATTTGTGCGATGGTTGGATGTTGAACGATCGATAGCAACTATCAGCTGGGGAGATGATGTTCATGCGTGACCTCCGTATGTTCTCCCAGCCGCTCCCGATTTGTTGTACCGGTAGATCATCGCCCCACATATGAGTTAAGGGAACCGAAATCTTGGGTTTTGTGAGGGCAGTATCGAGGCGTCCTAGCGATGAGCCGGGACACAATAGCATCCTAAACAGGGAATCACAAAATCAGGCATTCCATGTCAAGCATTGCCACAATAGTTTAAACCTGTCCTCAGCCAACGCATATCTCAACCTCAGTTCAATCAATGGAAAATTGCTCTCATATCTCGCCATCGTGAGTTTGTAATTCGTTTTGTTCATGTGTTTCGATGTCACTTTTATAGAGACTCTAGTCATTATCCAGCCTGATCCGCTATCAGACAAATAGCAAAGAACGCCGTTGATCCTGTACAGAGCCGTACCGAAGCCCTATCATTGTGTCTTTCATGGCACTATGCCGTGTATGTTTTTGTTCCCGAACGCTAAGTTCTTGCGGATATTGTACGAGCTCCCCTCTTCATAGCAGTAGTCATAGAATGCTCCTCAAAAATGCTTTGCCGTGTCAACGTACCCCTAAATCTGTTCCATATGCACGCTCATTTCAAATCGTAACAGTCAGCCACCGGGCGCATGTTCGCCGTATACTCAATTGCAGGTCGTAGGACCCTTGTGAAACTTGACAATCTTGTATATCGTATTACATGACACCAGGGGCTGGGTTCTCGTGCTTAGCGGTGCTGCCCTTGCCTCTCCAGGTGCTGACAGCAGGAATATTGGCTTCATAGCGAACTTCTTCGGTACCGTAGGCTCCTGGGGTGAGTTTGATCAAGGTGTGTAGTGGCACATTCATCCAGGGGCTCTTAGACTGGTCCTTCTTCATGAAGTATGCATATATACATCGTAGCACAGCTTGGTGGGTGACGATAAGAATATCTTCACTTCGCTCCAATTCCATGATGATGGGTTCAAGGCGAATAACAACATCGCGGTACGATTCTCCGCCACGATATCGGTAGTTGTACTTGTCTTCATCACGGGCGGCAAAGTCCTCGGGATATCGGTCCTTGATCTCCTGGTAGGTCAAGCCGTCGCATACCCCTGAGTCGAGCTCATCGAGCGCCTTCCACTGGAGTTGATTGTAGTGCTGGGGAAGGAAACGAGAAGTAGCAATAGTGCGTCGCAAAGTTGAGGTCCATACTGTTAGTGGTCGATCGTCCTACCCAGTGTTAGTTACATAAAAAAAATGGTAGGGTGCGGCTGGACTTACACCAACTGATTTTCGAACGAGCTCAGGAAGTTTTCTGGCATATTGTTCACCACGAGGCGAAAGGAGTGTATCACCGCCAATTCTTCCGTCAATGTTATACAAGGATTCTCCATGCTAGAAAGATTGTTAGTGATTAATTTGAGCGCGCAATGGAATCGCTCTTACTCTTGATAGCCAAACTGAACGAGGACGGATGTGTAGATTCATAAGATAGTACACAATGCGACTTTGGAGGTAATCTCGAATACGGCTGATAATGACTTGCTTACCGACATCCATGATCTTGAGGTAAGTTAGGTGAGACTCTTTACCATCAGCGTCAATGGTGCAGTACACCTTTTCGTAGTTACGAATGCGATTACGGAAATCGAGAGCAGCAGTTTCAGGGTCCTGTCCGCGGTAGTCCGGGCTGGTAGTCTTGACGTCTCGGATATTGGCCATGATGAGTTCTTCGTCGTCGCACTTGCTCTCGACAAAGAGAACTTCGATACCGTTTTCGTTGCAGACCTCCAGAACCCACTTGCGACGTTCCAGAGTAGAATTGGTAGCATCGAGGATTCCGACAATGCCGCCAGAACGAAACCAGGCGAGCATGTCGGCAACAGCAGCCTCGGCGGCAGCACGGCGAGTGCGTTCTCCTTCGGGATTGTTGATATCGAAAAAGTCGGCCGTGGGTTGTGGTGCATCATTACGGCGGTAGTTGCCAACGTTGAAAGTCTGTGCAGGGATGGAAAGCCACTGAAGATATCGCTGAGCTGAGAAGTTGGTCAGCTATGATGGCGCATGATGCAGATACAGATAGAAATAGAACCTACCTCTTTGGGCGATATAACTCTTGCCTCGGGCTGGTAGACCGACCATGACCACGCAGATCCTGGTATCTTCGGCCTGAACGCCGACACCGTTAGTTCGAGAAGGCATCGTGGCTGATGATTTGCGACAAAAGGGGTGTAAGTTGTAAGTCGGTAGAATTGAAAGCGGCTGCTACTGAGCAGAGGATTCAAGGTTCACAAACAAGAGCCAGGCACTGATCAAATCTGATGAAGCCCCAATACTGCAGAGGCATCAAACAAGGGAGAGGATGAGACTGGAATGACGATAGTCCAATCGACGACGATAGATAGAATGAATCAACGAAATGAAATGAAATGAAATGTAGGAGTCAGAATGTTAGTGGTCGTGTGAGCCGAGGTAGACTCTGTAGTCGAACTAGAGGGGAGGGAGGGTGAATGGTGAGCGAGGAGAAAGGAAAGAGCTGGTCGAGTTCTTTCCGGCGACTGGATCCGAAGGTAGGTAGCCAGCCAGTTGAGATCAGATGAGGAAGCCACGGCACGTAGATGGATGGTTCCCAGTATGTTCCTTCCCAACGGAGTAGATTTATGTCGATGCGATGATACGCCAAAATGACCCTAATCGAGTGGCCTCAATGTAACTTTGCTCGATGCAGTAAATAGAGGCAGGCAGTCGAAGCTCTCTCCGTCTGTGTATGCAGCCCCAGAGGTGAGCTGGTCGAGAAGAGCAAGATTCAGATGAATTTGATGTGATCTGCAGTTCAAGGCACCCGGGGCAAGGGAACCAAGACTTCGGGGAGAAGCTGTCTGAGTGAGGATGAAGTGGGGGATAGAATGAGGGGTCGGATCGCGAGCGAGCGGTCTATGGATGAAAGGAAAAGAAATTGAGATGGATGGACAGCAGCTGCTTTAACTAGTTGCTCTCTAGAGAGAGTAACAAACCGTGCCTGGGGTAGCGTAGCGAATAGTCCAAGGGGACAGGAGGTCAATGAGGATAAGAGAGGTCAAGTGACAGAAGTCCAAGGTGAAGTAAGGTAAGGGTATGCAGGTAGCTAAGGTAAGGTAAGGTAAAGTAAGGTAAGGTAGCTCGGGATGAAGATGGAGTCGATTTTGAGGCTAAGAGTAGGGGCCCAACCAGCTGAGTATCACACTTGATACGATGCAGCTTATCGCTGCTATAGCAAGAAGAAAATACCTGTGCTTTAGTCAAGGTAATCGAGGTTGCTCCATCACAAACACGAAAGAAAAAAAAATCATGTTGAGCATGCGGCTTGCATCGTCTTTCTCAAGCTCGTGGCTCCATCATGAATGACGATGGAATGGAGACAGGCCAATGGGATTACGTCGTTGCCCCGCTAAAGCCCGCGTTTCTGATCCACTGTCGCGGGCCAAACCTCCCCCGCCGCCGCTCGGATGGACGCCGTGCGTGTCTGTAGAGGTCCCGGGACGGTCGAGACGCCCTGTAACGTGGCTCGGAGACGGTCCTGTAGGGGACGACAGAAGGTCGGGTGCTCCAAAAACAACCCTGAATCTGACTTCATCTATGTCCCTTCCGGTCTCTTACCGGGGGAGCCTCCACTCTGCAAAATTCCCATTTCCATTTCCCTTTGCCGATCAGATGGTGGGGGAGGAAAGCCGCAGACCTGCCAGAGACCTGTAGAGACCTGTAGAGTCCTGTACGTAGCCGCTAGCTCAACCTTGGTTGCAGCTGTCTCATGGTGACCTGCCTCCGGATCCTCCCGGCATGGTTCCCTGTCCAGAGACGGCAACCAGATATCAGGCATTTAAGGGCAATTTTCGGCGTCAAAAGCTCAGAAAGATGGTGTTGAGGATATGCAGTAGCCATTGAGAATATTGCCCCTAGTTGTGTGAATTTAGGCATTTCACCCCAGACACCGACAAGACACCGAGCCCAGAACCGACCGGGTCAGCTCCAGTAAATAGGCATTGATACTGGCATTGGCGTGGGCGTGGATATCAATAGATCCAAATCTCATCACACTTGTCCTGTGCTCTGTCCCTTGCCCAGGTCAGCCTCAATTCACGGCCGACTGTTTGCCTGGGCCCCGTCTGTCTGGGCGCAACTACAGAACGGTATGCTGCAGGAACCGCCACCAGCTGCCGCTCACGAGACCTATGGTGAGCTCCGGGTCTGTCCGAATTGGCACCACTGGTATCATGTCGCATCGTGTTGTTTCGTTATCATGACTTGCAATTGCTTTTGGAGGTCCCCAGCAGGTGCTCTTCTCTGGGGTACGTTCTCGGCCGATGTTTGCATTTCCAACGCATGTTATATATGGGGTCATCCGTCTTCTGACCCGTCTTCCATTCGATTTGACGTTGTGATATGATGGTAGATACACCTTGAACTTCGACATCCCCCAAGCTCCCAGACTTTCCGGACGTGGGGTCCCCTCACCCCAGGTTTAGTTGCTTTTGCGGCTTTCGGTCGTGTTGTGCTGCTGCCCTTACACCGCCTTGCGGCCTCACGATAACGAAATTTGGTGGATCGGATTCGTTCGCTTGAACACTGACAAAGAATCAAAGAAATGGTTTGTCTCGTACCTTGCTAAAGGCAAAGGTATTCGCACGACCCCGTGTCCGTACAGGTGACGGAGGTCCGGCTGCGACACCTCTCATAATTTTCTTGTGCTTCGGCCCGTAATGTCAGACGTCGATGACAAATGTTGAAGTGGTAAGGTTTCTAAACCTCTCTCTCTGGTGATCCTGTATCCGGGACCAAACAGGATGGGGCGTGTCAGTTCAGGATGTCTTTCGAGTCGAGTCCTGTGACTTGAGTCGAATGCTTGACTTGCAACGGAGGCAATCGTGAACTTGTGAAGATGGATGACAGCTAGAAACAGCAGGATAACTACCACGAACTACCTACCTTCCGTTGCGGGTTATCGCGATAAGCATCCCACACAACATCACACGACGAATCACGTTCCACTGCAGATACACGATGGTGTTTGCATTGCATCTTTTCGCTGAGAATTTCACTTGGGCTCCGGTCCTGGAGGCAATAAAACTCCTGTCTCTCAGTCAAGGTGCCAAAATACTTAATGAGACTTAGACTCTAACTGCCTAAGTCTACTTGATCTTTCAATTGACATAGAGAATAAATCAGAGATCAAGGAATCCTAGAGTCTAACGCATCATTCAATGAGAATTCTACAAGTATTGACTGAGACCAAACCTGAATTTCATCTTGTGCTGACTGATATTGTAACGGTGGATGGTGATGTATAAGTTAGCCATGACGCCAATCGGGCTCTGAGTGCTAGATTGCGGACGAGTACAGTTTCTATTCTGGATTATATGTATGTATATCTATGGCTACCTAGTCTAATGACGTCTACTACCCCATCTTTGATATCCCTGAATGGACAATGGGTGTCACACACATCAACACTCACACGATGCAATGGGCTACTCGGTTACAAAGCACTTAAAAGCAGACTTAAGGACTTGTTGAAAAATGGAAACTGAAAACTCGATCATTTGTCGTATTCAGTCTCACATTGGAGAGCTGTATTCATATAGGCAACACCATTGCTCCTATCTGCGCTCTCGTAGCCGCCTCCACCATGTGGAATACCAAGACAAAGTCTTTGTTTCGTATGCTAGCGTCAGTGAACCGATCTCGTTCATGTAAACACTAGATGCGTGATGGCGACAATTTCTGCTCCATCCAGTATATTTTGCACCTTTGACATTCTGCCTCTACAGGGCTACATCCATTGTTTGCTCCTTAGGTGACAGGCTTCCTGGACACGGACAGCTATTTGGAGTAGAAACGCATCTCTGCGCCACCCACATCAAAGACAGCCACAACGTTCTGCAAGAACAGATCCCCCAAAATATATGGCCCAGATCCTCCCGTCGAAATTGCGATTGCACATTTCCCAGTCACCGGTTCGGTGAAATGCTGATAGATCAAATCAGCTGGGTTGATCCAGAACCGAACCCCTTTGATGATGACTGCAAAATGGGGAGGGATGGCATTGCAGTCGACAAAGTAGGCACTCCACTCAAACATCCACGTGGCTGGAGGCTGGAAAGCTTTGGCAATGGCTTCCGCCAGTGCTTTTGGAGCTGTTAGTAACTATCAGGAACTTGAAGCGGGCTAACTGACGAGGGGGAATATGCATCATTGTGGTCCCAGTGTCGACGATGTAGGGATATTTTGCAGTGTCTGTTGTGCTTCCCCATTGTAAACCATCAGGAATGATGGTGTAGAAAGAGGGCTCCCAGCCAGTCTTCTCACGCTCAACGAGCTTGGCCTGTAAGTTTGTTAGAAGCATGAACGTTAAAAAGACACTCTCTGCAGGATTAACTGACAATGATGAGATCTGTTGCTGCAAATGATTTGGGTCCCCATGGCATAGGGGGAAGGCCACCCCAAGCCAGGACGCCATCACTAATGTTTCTTTCGATAGAAACGCTGAAGACAGGATCGACCACGCCTTTTGAGATAGCTGTGGTAAACCAAGGCGAGTAAGGGTAGTTGTTCCATTCAGATTCATCGGAAGTGTCGTTGGGGTCACCGAGGTAGGCGCTTGTTAGAGATGGATAGGCAAGGCCTAAAATACCAACAGTGGTGTTGTCACCACGCCAGTAGGCTCTGCTGGCCAAGCCGACTTGTTGTTTGGGGACCAAAATCCCACCACAAGCGATATCAGAGACTCCCATGGGCCCTGATACATCCTCCCCAGAACCATAACGGCGATGGAAGTAGACTTCGGAGATATCATGAAGGAAGCTCTCGATATGAGGTTGGCCGAAACTGCATGGAGATTGGGTTTTTCTCACGTTGCCTGATGCATCCTCACAGGTGAATCCAGTCTTGGCAGCCCATGTGTCAGAGCTTCCAGTGTCGAAGATGAGCCAAACCGGGGTGTCGTCCCAGGTACACTGGATAGCGTACGCAGTGGAGAAGCTCCCGACAGCAGAAATGTTTTGGTGAGGGACGGTACCCTTCCCGGCAGCTGCGAGATGAGTTCGTGTGAGATGGGAGAGAGCAGATCTCGGATGGGAGTCAGTCTTGTGCTTGAGGCTCTTGAGTCGTGACATGCGAACACCGGTGCGATCAATGGTTTTGGCGGAGATGGCTCTGGCTTTTTCGAAGGAGAAGCCGTTAAGTGAAGTTGAAAGATCCCAGTGTGCCTGAGCAACTTGATTGCCAGCCACGGCCGCCAAAGAAGGGCACATGATGCTGGCAAGGAGAACGAAGATGAAGTGAAGAGATCTCATCTTGGTAATCAGCACCTTAGGTGTAAGTTACCGGCGGGGGTTAGGAACGGTGAGGTTGTTGATGTAGGGGATAAATAATGTGATGTTTAGAAACACTCCGAATTTTTGAAAAGGGGTTTACCTGTGCCTCAGGATTCAGACTCGCGAGTGGCAGGCACCCTCTTCGGTCTTGGCAGTGCCATGGACATGCCTTCCTTCTCTGACTCGGCTACATAAGGTAGGTAGGTATGGCGTGGAAGGTGCAACGTTAGGAGAAGACTCGCTGAAAAGACAATATTTCTGCTATTATGACGCAAGGTAGCTTACCTTGTATCAAGTCTATGCCAATGTATAGGTACTATATATTAGTGTCTATATAGCACCTTACTTGGCTCATATGATTAGAAGATTTTCATTTTCAAATTGCTTGGGTGCTCGAGTTGTGGTTACCTCGTCAATATACTCGACGGTCGTGGTCAATAATATCATGTCCTTCTTCAGACTGTGATCAAACTTCTTTCATGCCTGACATACCAAACTAACTATAATTTGGTTAGTAGATGATTCAATAAATGGGCAACTTCATACAAGAATATCCTGCACTTCATGTCGTTGCTTGCACTCAGATCGCGGGGTCATGCGTTACCAAGTTTAATCATATACAGAGCTCATAAACGATCTTTGATTAAAATTGTAAATCCCAAATACTTCCATACCATAGTCTCTGCTGCATGGCGGAGAAACACGAAGGCCCTGCAGATTCCCGGAGAACAAGACATTGGGGCTCAACGAGTAAGACCCCCAGATCTGGTGCTACATTCACCATCACTCAGACTTGTTTCCAAGTTTCAAGAGGATATCATGGTAGAACCCTTGAGTTACCGACTGGTTAGAATAAACGAGAAACAAGACATTGCTCTGACTAGGTAGATGCCTAACTAATTCTCGCAAGCTTGCTGCAAGGCCGCCTGTCTAAAACTTGACTCTATATTAAGCAACCTCACTATAGCATTTGCAATTTATGTAATTCGTTCTATAAGCATTTGGCTCTGAGTCTAGTTCTGGGTTTTGTCATTGTAGAATAGTAAGCTACTGCCTAGACTGTGCCCTATCGATCTGATACCTCAAATATCATGTCAGCAATGAAATGAGCCATCGCTGACTGAAGTTCCTTGTCTTGAAGTCAAAGCACCCCGCTGACAAAGGTTAACATTATATGAATTTCTAGATAAGCGCGCTTTATCCTCCATCTGGTATATGTACATTATATATTGGCTCATGCTTGGCTTTTCTTATGCATTGTCAGTGGTCTAAGTGCACATTCACTTCCAAACTCCCCAACAAACCCCTATTATCACTCGGTCTTCTACAACTACTTTCCGAAATCAAACGAAAATCTCACTTTCCCTCCAGTGTCCACTCGCATATCGTATAGATAGTGGTCGAATCAAAGCGGAGCATGGAGATGTCATCATCTTACACAGCCGAGATAGGGCTGATGCACCGCTACACCACCACGATAGCGCGGCGCTTATCATGTTCAACTCCATAACCTCACAGGATCCATTGGCTCAGAAATCGAATAGCGACAGGGCTGGAGGCTTGGACGCCTCTTGAATTACCAATTGTGGATTTTCGATCATCTTACAGTAAGCAGACTTGCATAAAGGGGTATCTCTCGATCATCTCTCGAGATGTCAGCTCTGGGGCTTTGCTACGATGTCAACATCCGGAAGGTCATCCTGGAACCTTGCTTCATGAGGCTTAAGTTTTCGGAAAGTATGGACTTTCATTTGTTTTCATTGTCAACGGCCTGCATTTCGTACAAGCAGCTGAGCATCCCTGCAGGGTCCTCGGCCTTTGTGAAGCCGAGAGATATGGTATCAAGAATGATGACTACCTCAGGATGCTCCCAGGAATAAAAGGAACGGATCTGCTCTCTTGTAATGACCTGTCCCCCGAGTGTTGCTTTCACAACTCTCGTTTTACACCCAGCCTTCTTTTCTCTCTGACTATCCTCTCGCCCTCTATCTTACACGATCATGGCATCCCATCTGTCTGATGTAGCTAAAACAGCTGCTGGTATCGAACAGACAACAATTACTGGCCTAACCAACGCCAGTAAACCTCATCTAGTTTTTGGTGCAACTCCTGTGGATGGACACACATACCCCTTGATTCGAATCGCAGAAGATCTCGTGCAGCGTGGTTTCGAGGTCACTTTCATCGCTGGTGAGCAATTCGAAAAAGCAATCACAGGCGCCGGCATTCGACATGTTACAGTCCCACCTCTTGTGAATCCCAAGCTCATGGCAGAGCGTGAGGCTATCCCCGCTGGCATTCCTCGACTTCTTTATGATATCAGACATATCTTCACTGGGCAAACCCCTGAGCGCTGGAGGATCCTCAAAGGAGTTCTCGAGGACATCAGAGCTAAGGATCCAGAGAGAGAAGTGATTGTCATGCCAGAGACGTGCTTCATGGGGGCCAATCCTATCTCTCTTGGTGGACCTCTCCCAAAAGGATACACCAAGCGACCCAAGGTGATCAACTTGAATCCTATTCCTTACATGGCTACCAGCATCGACACTGCGCCTTTTGGTCCAGGTCTTCCTCCTGACTCAACGGAGTCTGGCCGTGCGAGAAATCAATTCATGAACCAGATGATGGTTGGTGGACCTTTTGCTGATGTTATCGCCCACCAGGAAGAGGTTCTCAAGAATCTCGGGGCCACTGAGATTCTAGAGCCTCAGATTCCTTTTCACCATTGGATGCTCATGCATGATCTTTCAATTCAAATGTGCCCTCCCAGTCTCGAGTACTCTCGATCTGATGTGCCATCCAACGTCAAGTTTTCAGGCTGCGCAACACCCAAACCTATTCCTGCAGACTTTGACTATCCTTCTTGGTGGGATGATGTGAAGCGTGGTGACCGACGTATCGTTGCTGTAACTCAGGGAACTATCGCTCGCGACGCAACCCATCTTATAATCCCTACTATCAAGGCCCTCTCTGACCGCGACGACCTCCTCGTGGTAGCAATCCTTGGGCGAAGGGGCGCTCTTCTCCCCGACGACATCACTATTCCTTCCAACACCCGTGTCATCGATTACCTCCCCTACGACGCTCTCCTACCTCATGCTTCAGCGTTTGTCATGAATGCTGGATATGGTGGCTTCCTGCATGGAGTAACCAACGGAGTTCCTTTGGTTCTTGCAGGTGAGACTGAGGACAAACCGGAGATTGCAACGCGCGGAGAGTGGAGTGGTGTTGCGGTCAATTTGAAAACGGGTAGGCCTACACCTGATATGGTACGGTTAGGTGTCGAGCGTATCTTGGCAGATGGTAGCTTCAAAAAGAGGGTTGATGAGATCAAGGCCGAGAATGAAGCAATGAAATTCTTTGACTTTATCGAGAAGCAGGTTCTCTCTGTTGAAAGTTTGGAGGCATGATTTGTTTTGCAGTATAATAGTCTTAGCGCCACTTATAATGCATTATTTATGAAGACCTTGGACCTATGATTGATGCCATGTGTGAGAAAAAGTCTCCGAGAGCCTCCGGTCCATCGACTCTGTTCCTCCGCCCGGCTCCGGCTCCGGCTCCAGCGGGGCCGCGGTTCCTTAAATAGGCCGATTATTACGGAGCATCGTTCTTATATAAAACAGACTTCTGATCTTACCTCGCCAGATCAAATCCAAGGCTTGTTGATCATTCAGGTTCAGAACACCTCAACCAAGGCTTCGCCATGGCAACCTCCAAGGCATTGCCTCTGGCTTTCATGGATGCTCTTAGTCCAGCTGTGTCATATTTTCGGCCCGATATGACAACTTCAACGACTCCCAAAACCACAACCACATCCTCTGGTGATCCTCCACTGATTATCATTCTTTCGTGGTCGGAAGCTCGCGATGTTCATATAGCAAAGTACATCTCTCAGTATCGCAAACTCTATCCAACATCTGCCATACTCTTGTTCCGCGCTTCCACCAAGCTATACATTCAGCCAGCTCTACGTCGTCGCCTGTTTGAGCCTGCTTTGCCAATTCTACAATCAGTTGACACCAAGGCAGACGATGCACCCAACTTTCTCATCCATATCTTTTCCAACGGGGGTGTCAGTTCTGCTGCCACGCTTTGGGAGATATGGGAAACTTCACTAGGCCGTAAACCAATTCCTCGACATGCTGTCGTGATGGACTCGTGCCCGGGATACTTCCATTGGAAACGAGATCACCATGTCCTGTCAACCGGAGTTCCACCATGCTTATCCCCCATCGTCTGGGTATTTCTTAGTTTTGCATGGGTGTACTACAAACTATGGTTGGGTGTGGAACCACATACTGCCTATGCCTCGGCTCTCAATACGCCTGAGAGAATCAGCCGGGAGACTATGCGGGCATACCTTTACGGAGATGCAGACCTCTCGGTTGGTTGGGAGGATGTTGAATCACATGCTCAACAAGCAAAGGATAATGGCGCTGTAGTCAGAACAGAGAAATTTGCTGGAGGTGCCCATGTCGCTCATGTCAGAGTTGATGCTGATAGATACTGGAAGACTGTCCAAGAGACTTGGCAAGGGGAAGAGCTATAGATTAGATTAGATATTCATTGTTGTGTATGAATATAATAGACATTATTAAGTCCATAGATAGATAGATATATTACATTCGCTCAGTATGGTTGCTTAGCCTCCAAGATCCTGAAAGTCCCTGTTCATTATTCATTACCATGGTTTCTTCTCATCTCATGATAGATCGCGTATATGTCGATCATAGATAGTTCCGTAGAAAATCGGCCTGTCTGTCCCATTACGCCTGGCACCCGAAAGAAAGCCCGACGCTGATAAGTGTATGCTTTGTTCAAGTCCTCTGTTTCTTTGAGGCATCGCTGGGTTCTCCTTGCTCCCCAGCTGCTCTCTTGCCGAGGCTGCTTTGTGTTTGTGAGGTCTGTTGAAATGGCATTATGTGACTGTCATCTAAGCCTCCGACGCCCTCGTCTTCCTCGTGGCATACAGAGCATTCTTGGTTGAAATCGTGCTCTTGGACGAGGATACCTCGGCGACATCCACCAAACCATCCGTTATTCTTAGCCTCAAGGCAGGACAGTTCTTGGGTCAGGTCAACCCAAGTCTGAGGCTGGTCGCAACACGTGCAATGCCCTCTGAAAATCATCATTCGGCACATGTCTGCACTGAAGAATTGGCACCTCAGCGACGCGTGACACGATATCACGGTGGTAGGCGTAGAGGCTTGTTCGAGAGTCAGTGTGTGTAAGGGAAGGCGTTTGTTGGTGAGAATAACCTTGTCTTGGTGGCCTTGTTTCTTGTGTTGGGAATACTCGCGATGTCTCAGTTGGGGAAGATGCCGAATACCGAATTGGTGTCTTCATCAAGCGAAGCTCTGTAACGTAAGACGCGAGACGAGTGAGTGCCGAAGAGAGTATGGAGTAGCAAGCCACAATGCAACGTCGACGCTGTTGCCAAAGAGAAAGCCACAGAAATTGTCGATGTTTCTTTGATATGCAATTCGTAGGTAAAATATAAAAAAAAGCAACAAAATGAACTTGGCGCTGGTTGGCTCGTTGTTGATTGATAGCCACCAACCGCAAGACAGCAAATAGATAGTAAGGGTGGTGTTGAAATACACCAGTAAACGGTTGACACCAATATGTATGATATGCCGTGCTAAAGAGAAGGAGGAGAAGATCTACCGCAGGAGATGAAGAGTTGAAATGAGCCGTGCTCGCCGGGCCACGGGAGAGAGAAAGTGAGAGGACATGGTGATTTTAATATAGTTATACAGTACAAGTGAGTGATGTGCAATGATGGACGTGCTACGGCATACACCGACCGCGATACGGATACAACAATTGGTAATTCGACGAGGCCACGGCCAACTCTAATTACTCCTTTTTACCTTTTTCTACACCGTTGAGGTCACGTCACGTCACACATAATAGATACTTAATTACAAACAGCCAGAAACGGGACGTGTCTTCTCCTCTCGCCTCTGATAGGTACGGCAAGGCAATGGTTGTCATGAGAGGTCCAAGCGATAGTTAGGTATTCAGCTGCCTTGCATCAACACATCACTGCCAGTTTCATTCTGATGTTTCATTTCCTCCCCTTGACTCGACTTGGCTTTGGGGCAATAAGCTTTCCTCCAACGCTAGGCATGTTCATCCGTCCGTATGTATTGCCACTAACTACCTAGTACTGTAGTAGTTGGTTTCTCCTTCACTGCCACCGCCTGACAATTCCCGAGCCCTTCGCTTCTGAGTTCTAGACTCCCAAGTTTATTCTGATCCTGCTCTTGAAAGTTGGCCCGTATGCTTTGTGGGTTCTCGACCTTGTTCCGGCAGTTTTCTCTTCGGCAGTACCCGATAACATAGTCGCTGCTGTTGGACCTGGTGATAGCTTCAGATCGATATTTGGAATTACAGAGACGTACTGATTCTTGTCGACTTGCCGAAGCATTATACAGAGGCAAATTAGGCCATTCGCAAAACGCTGTCTTCTCACAAGACTAAAGCCTTGATCTTCAAACACCACAGCCATCATCTTCAAACACCACAGCCATCATCATCACGCATGACGATCCTGCTAAGCAGGGTAGGGTTCTCATGGCGGTCATCAAAAAGCCCCATCTCCTCTCCTCGGCTCTTGACCTATTGAGTATCTTCAGCGTCCACGGGACGACGTTTACTGGCGATAACCTTTCACGGCTCGGCCTCTCTTCCCCAGAGTCTTTGGCGTGTTGTGCCTGGCATGAGAGGCTGAGCTAGAGCAAGCTCCGGGACATTTAAATCCGATTCCATTTCGAACCAAAGATTTAGTCGAGGACATTACTTGAATTTACGCAATTCCTGACTCCCTGAGCTCATGATACTGATCTATGGCTAAAGTTTGTATATTCCTCCCGCATGATCTTGATATCCAATCTCACGATAATATCTCCCGCGTTAGGCTGCACACGTGCCGACTTCTTCGTTCTATATTTCACTAGACATCGTGACTGGAATTCTTGGGACCTCCATAGACCATCACAAAACCTACTAGCTCTCCCACTACTCGTCTCAGGGCGTCATAGCAAGTACCCGACCAACGTTCTACGGGCGTAACTCACTAGTTTTATCCTTCTAGACTCAATCTCCGTCAGTTCCGTTCAAACACTATCTGATATTGGGTTTCGCCGTTCCTGAGATCACAGTACATAGTTTGAATTTGACGGCTGAGGCTTAGCCATTGATCATGATAAATCCGAGTGCCTCATGCGCTTACTCTCCGGTGAACTTCCTCCCATAGACAACCCTAATGCTAAAGTGAGAAGTGTTCTCTTGTCAGGACATGTAATGCGCCCTGGCTAAGACATCTCTCGTGATCTCAAGTAGTCAAGTTCCATTGCTTGATGTTTCTCCGGCTCTAACTCTTGGACTTCAGGGAAGTACTGGAAAGATAAAGTCCACTTTGGCCACTGTCACCGTAGGCTTTCTCTCCTCTTTGAGAATCCAGAGACTGCTCGGTCGCTCTTTTGCGGCTACAGTATAACGTATTTACTCCTTAAACTTCTGAGTTTTTCATCTTGGTATCGAAATGGGGAACGTTGATGTACGTGCTTATCGCGAATCACACGCAACAAGAAGAAAGTCTGAATAAAATCGAACACGCTTTATTTTATCATATCTGCAACAAAGGCATCCAGCTCAGCGCTAACCTCAACGTCCTTAAAAGTCATTTGCCATCAAACGCCTTTACAGAGTAAATACCGCCTTCAGACGTGGTTGCATCACTTCTTTATTCTTGGCCCGACTCATAATTATATCATGATATCGAGCCCTTCTTCTTGCTCGTTGCGGCTCTGGTGTGGTGCAGGTGCTGGGCGGGCATCTCCTTCAGGCGCATTTAATCCAGAAGCTTCTCCAAATGACGCATCAAACTCATACACATTAACATACGCCTCTATTTCAGATGCACCTAATAGAGAGGGCTCTAGTTGAACCTCATCTTGTTCGGACAGAACTAGTTCAGGCGAATAGAAGTGATGAGCCGGCAAGTCCTGAACTGCTCTGAGGTTACGGAATCTTTCATCACGCTCCTCAGGCGTTTCATCGTACAACGAGGGTTGCGTCTCTGTTTCATCGTCTGGCTCCAGGACTGCATCGGTCGTAGTGGGCGACCATGGGCTACTGTACGCCCTATCGCAACAAGTAAGCCTTGAGCCTGGTTTTACGCTGTTGAAGTTCCCAACGGCGTCTCCTTCCACCAATATACGGTAGTTGTGACCAGGGCAGTTGACTCACAGTTGATCCGAGGCCTCAGCTATTTCGTTTGCTATTTGTACTTGCGCCACTCGGAGCATTGTTTGGAGAAACTCTTGTGAAGATGCCTCATCATACGTTGCGAGGCTGTATGATGTTTCGTAAATGCAGTTGTAGCAGTTGTCAGCCAGGGCATATACGATTTCTGGCCTCATGGAACGGCAAGTTTCGAGCACGCTGTTGCAGATAATGCATCGATACTCGCAGAAGTGCCGCTCGCCTTGCAGCGGGGAATGGCGCCGACTCATGATGAAAATGACAAATAAGAGTTTGATACTAAATAGTATTATCAATGAAGCGAGTGTTATTGTTGCTGAGATGATTCTTGTAATTGGAAGCAAAGTAAAAGGACATTGCCCTCCGTGCTTGGGGACGACCCATGGTATAAGGTGAGGTACCTACCTACCCACGCGATGAATCCATCTACAGCTCTTTCCATTTGACTTGTTGGTTCCAAGATGTACTTGCTTTCCTCTAATAGTCAAGCTTCATCTATCGAAGGAGGCGCCGATCCCAAAGAAACCCCAATATATGGCCATCTCTAAAAACTACTTGCCTTCCCTTTCATAGCAGGTGGCAGAATCAAGTGATTCAAAGTTCTACTAACGTATATCAGGGTAGCCTAGGTAAACCTCTTCGTCACTTAGGATAAAGGTCGTTGGTTTTCTTACCTCCCCTTAGTGAGGTACTAGCACCTTGATAAAAGTGTAGAGTTTGCTCATTGTATCCGTCAAAGGCTTAGGAGTCTCAATATCATTATACAGAGAATCAACGTCTCCCATTAAAGCTTTCTATCTCTCAAGCAGCTTGGTGTGATTTATTACAAGGACTCCAAAAATATGGTTGAACGCATTCACCTCGGTTCCCTGCTTTCGTTCTGTCAAAGCTGCTGACGTCTTTGTAAGACTGCACATATTTGCTTCACGATCGTCAACCCAAAGAAACAGACTTAAGAACCTGTCAAACTCATAAACTCTTGATGGTTCATCCATCGGCTGAAGTATCACGGCAACGCGCTCAAGTTTAATATACTCAAAGCATTGATACAAAGATCACGAGTCTGGAGTAACCTAGTAATGACACTTCCAGGAGACTTGTCTGATCTTCACAGCTCACTACGAGACAAGGCATGATTTGATAAACGTTAAAAGTCCACAGTTGCGTAAGGCTAAGTAAGTGTTACGATGGTAATACAAGGCAATGCAATCCGAAACTCCATTTCTCCAATCCAACCCACCGTCACCAAAGTATACATTCCCTTTCCTCATGACATGCAAGCGATGAGAATGTCCGGTGTTGAAACCAGACCCAAATGAAAAGGTGGATGAAAGCGCAGCGAGCTAATGCACATGACGAATTGCTAGGCAACTCAGCATGCAGCATACATGCAGAAACAGGGAGACCACTTGCACGAGACAGTCGATTCATCCAATACCGTACGAGCCTGATTGGAAAAGGAGCAAGAGACAAGCTAACACCACGTGCATCAAGACACTACTGGCCCAGTTCAGGTTGCGATCCGAGGTTCGTGCAGTTGAGTTTGCCGGTTCACATCTCCACGACAAATCGCAAGTTTCAGGATGTACGTCATACCAAGGGATGAGCTGGCACCAGCAATCGCACATGTCATCAACGCATTAGTCGTGAGTTGTCAGTCCGCAATCCAGTGGCACCATGATCGTGAAAGACCCAGCGGAGGTGACGGCAGCTTTAGATATTCGTGGAAGCATTCAGCATCGAGTCCGGGAACGCCTAAATGAATTCGAATGGGGTCATGGCAAGACAACCATGCACGTCGCACCCGAGATTGCACCTCAATATTAATGTTGTAAAGACAACCCAGTCAAGAGATATGTCATCAGAAAGGTTGAGTCCAAGGAGTCCTCAAAAGACGGAAAAAGAAAACGGGTGATGTACAGTCGTAGGTCGTGGCAACGGGCTATGAGTGCAGAGAGGTGTCAAGAGCGTCAAAACATTGGCATGATATCAATCAAACCACCAGATGGCACCCTCGATCCGCGGCATTTGCGGATGAGAGCTCAATCAAGATCACCCAAGCACGAGCAAGCAGGCAGGACATCACTTATGCTCCGGGTGCAGGAGCACCAGAAGGGGGGGCACCTTGTCCGCCTTGCTGTTGTTGGTACATCAAGGATTGATACCACAGCGCGAGGTAATTTTGGTAACCACCATCTATGTTGATTAGCATTCAGCAAGGGCACAAGGGCACAGCATATCAAGACTTACATTGGGCGTAGGGATCGGATCCATCAGCTGGAGCTGGTTGTGGAGGCTGGTTAGTAGGGGCACTGGAGCCTTGCGCTTGAGAATAGCTGGGCCTGTCATGATCTTGATGTCCACGGCCACCGCCACTACCACCGCCACGGGGGCCACTGCCTTTCTGGCGCTGTTCTCATGTTAGCTGTGTAAAGTAAGGTCTTGGTGTTAGGACGGGACTCACCACTGCATCCACCTTCTCGTCAATGGCAAGCTTGGCTCGCGCAATACTATCTCGCGAACCGATCAGGGCGATCTCCCTCTGAGTCTCACCGGGACCAGAAGATTGAGCAACGTTGATCTTGCATCCGGTGGTGTTCTGCATCTCCCTGATCGTCTCGCCGCCCTTTCCTATGATCATACCTACCGCATCTGAAGGGACATATACAGCGTCATTGATCTTGTCGGGACCACCAGAACCTCCCGCATCCCTCTGAGGACCATCATGGCGGCTTCCAGGAGCTGCTCCTCCACCTCCCAACCTTTTGACAGGCGGCGGCGCGTCGCCTCGACTGTCACTGTCGACAATCTCCATGATAAAATCCTTGGCGCGGGCCGCAGCTTCGCGCGTGCCGATGAGGTTGACAGGCCGCAATCCGTTCACACTCTTAGATTCACCAACGATATTAATATGGCAGCCGGATCGTTCTTGAAGGTCGCGGATAGTTTCACCTCCACGTCCAATAATCAGACCGACAGTCCTGTCGGGGACCATGATCTGCATGTGGTCCTCCCCTTCGCGTAGAGCCGTAGCACCGCCCTTGTTGGGGTCGCGAGGCTTTTCGGGGCGGTTGAGGGCACCCATTCCGCTGTCGTCAATAATACGGTTAATGGCATCCTTTACTTCAGCACGACGGTGCCGGGGTCCAGAGATCTTGCATAGCCTGTGCGGACCACCGTCGGTGGCGGCCAGGAACTGGACTCGGCAGTTGGATTCAGACTCTATGCGTCTAAGATTCTCTCCTTGTCTGCCGATGATGAGGCCTACAAGGCTTGAATCGATCTCAATGGTCTCCGAGTTGTCATCACCTCCTCTCAAGGGAGACCTCTCGCGTCCGTTGTTTCCCCGAGGGGAAAAATTCCGACCTCGAGGGCCTGGTGAATAAGAACGGTCTCGACCATAGCCCCGAACATGTGAACCTCTGTCGCCGCCACGTCGCTCATCTCTGTACGGATTCACACCATCACGGAACTCATCGCGAGCGGGTGATCGTGACCTTGAGCGGTCGTATCCTCGATCAGGTCCTCGTGATTCGGAGGCATAGACAAGGGGTCGATCGTAGGATGTCACGCCCTTTTCGGCCGCATAAGCTTTGGCCTGAGCAATCGCATCGGCAATACTGAAAGTTCCCGAGTTGACAGGTCGAATCGAGCTCAGGTCGAGGTTTCCGCTGGATGATGGCGCAGGGAGGCCATTGTAGCCGGGTGCACCATAACTGCTAGAGTTTGGAGGGGGCGGCTGGTACGTGGCCGCAGGTTGCGCCGACGCAGGCGGGGGAGGGTATGCCTGGTTGGGAGCGCCGGGTGGTGTCTGGGTTGGGGTCCCTGTCGGCCGCTGCGACGCTGTGTGAACAAGTCAGTAAGCGCAGATTATGCAAAATGAGTTGTTCTGACATACCGAGTGCGGCCAAGATACTCTGGATGTCAGGTTGAGGATTCGCCATCGTGCTTCGCTGCTAGTGGAGCTGAACGGGAGCCAGCACGAGCAAGGAGCTAGTTTTTCGTCGTTGGGATAAACCAGAGAATAGTGAATAGCTCGATGAAATTATGAGTAATGAGGGATTGAACTATCTTATAAGTGATGATCTCTAATCGCGAAGAACAAATGCGACGAGTTTCGAAAGTCGGTATCGCAAAGACTTGACGGATCCGCCGGTCACAATCTGAAGTCAGGATGAGATCGAGTCTCGTTGCGATGAACGAATACAAAGGCTTCGGGGATGTTGCCAGATCGCCAATATATGTCACGGGTCGCGTATCAAAGCTGATGCGATCGCAGTGGGTGTAGTGAATAGTGTCGCGGGGAGCGATAGGGGCGATGTCTCGAAAGCGCAGATGAGATGAAGAGGGAGAAAGGAATCTGATTTGGAAGAATCAGGTTCATACAAGAGTGGATGACCCAAGCGCGAAGGTTCGGACCTCCACTACCTAAGTAAACCTCAGGGGGGCAAGAAAACAGCGAACCTTAATGTAGGGTGTCAAAATAAACTCATTAAAAGCTATCCTAAGCTTAGACTATATTCCCTAAGTCTTTTTGTCATTTAGGGTCAAGGTTCTGTGTTTTCTTTCCCCCCCTAGGTAAAGTACCTTACCCTGCCTTACGTACAGTCCCTAGACTCTAACTTAGTACAGTACCTGCAGTGTAGCGTGACTTAAGGCTAAACCTCGTTGGGAACTTAAGTGACATTCCTCCACTGCTCTTTAGAGTGCAGACAAGACTGAGCGAATATTGAGCCTACACTTGATGTGCTTCTTTGCACTAGGCTTTGTTCTGTATTTGTGTCGTTATGCCCTTGGCAGCAGTAATTTTCTGCTACCCCATCTACAGTTACTGTCTGTATCCTCGATTCGGTGCGCAGCCCAGCCCTCAATGGCAAACTCTTTTACAGTAGGGCTTGAACTGTATTCGCCAGGCACCAGGCATACAAGCTTTCCTTATTAGGGCTCAAGGCGCAACTTGGAAACTCATATATGATCTTACTCTGTGCACCTGTACCTCGATCAATTCAGTTTCCATTGTGACCCAATTGTTCAGATCGAAGTCATCAGACCTGGAACTAGTCCTAGAAAGGCAAGCTTACAACAACATTTGCCGCTGAATCCGCAGCGGGGGTCACATAGTCACTGCACGCACATTGAAGTTTTGAACGGCTTGTCTGGTGGAGTAGTCGGAAAAACAAATCACCGCTTATCGCTCCGAGACTTTTCTTATCGCTGAAAAAAAGTTCTCGATTCAGTTGCTGCGAGACGA